CTTTTTCCCCATCGGGGTTTTTGAGTTTTAATCCTCGAGGGCTTGAAGCACTTCACATGATATTGTATATATTACACTTGTATGATAAATAAACATGCTTAATTTTTACTGTTGGATTTTATTATGTGGAATTGCGCTCAGTTGACTTGTCGGTCTTCAGACTAATAACGATAAGGCTGCATGCTCTGTAAATGTATACTGTTTAGCCCCATGGCCATGATATGTACATAACATTTAATTTAACCATGTTCTAGTATAACATCTTGCCAAAGGACTACAGTTGAAAATTAGCCTGCTGGCTAACACTGGCACATTTACAGAAATGTTGATTAATGTGCACTGTCCTTTAAATAAATAAATGAAATGAAACATTGTTTTGTAAGTGAAGTCTATGCTATCCATTGAAGTATAATAAACTTTGGTGCAGGTTGGCACCCAGGTAATGTGTGTGTGTGTGTGTGTGGGGGGGAAGTATGAAACAAATTGATGTACAATATTTTCCTTTTTAATTAGATGTACTGATTGGTCAGAAATTACCAATTAATGTGGTGTCTCTCTATTAGTCCTCTGGTCCCTCCCAGCTCTACTGGTCTCTCCATTAGTCCTATGGCCTCTCCCAGGTCTACTGGTCTCTCTATAGGTTTGTCTAGTTGGGTAGACCTATTTTTCATGCATATACGCACACATGCACACGTCACACGCACAATGTGCTCTCCGATCACGTCATAATCCACACCTCTCCTAGCCTGGCAAGCCAGACCCACATCAGAAAGATGTAAGGTCTGGCTCAGCTCCATTGGCAGTGTGGGCGGGATAAACGGTTGTCTTTCAAGTTCCCTCTGCACGCAATAGGATAGCGCTACAGCCAATCAGAGCAACGAAGAAGGTGACGTAGTCATGGCGACGGCTCTGACTACGTAATTAATCAAAACTCTGAATACATCTTTCTTTTCGAGGAAAGACTTCAGTGCCGTTCTTTTCTCAAATAAAATGTTAACTTCAAGTCTTGAAGAGTCGCGGCCAAAGCCGAGTGGAAAGACAGCCATTCGCCAGCAGCAGCAGCCATTGTTTACCTCTAACACGGAACCCTCGCAACTCTGTCGTCATGGTAACCCGGCTTCCGACTCCGCCCCTCACGCTGTGATTGGTCAGACATACAAGACACACTTGGTGTTCCCAGCACCAAAAAGCCGACGGAGCCGTGCTAGACTAGCCTGGCTCCGCCCACATACGTACTTCCGCTCAATTTTCATTTCACTTCAGTACTAAGGTCTGGCAGTGCTGTATGGCAGAACGATTTCTTTTCCCTCAAATGTGCCTTCCAATCAGCGAACAGGAGGCGCGGCCTGAGAACAGTGACGTAGAGGTCGTGCGCGAATTTCAGTTATTGAGCGTAAGTACGGAGGCGGGCGGAACCAGGCTAATGCTAATGCTCACTGCATCTGCCGTTTGTATACTGCACGCAACGTGGTTTCTGGCGCATGAAATACGTCACGACCAAACGTTAGCGATTGGTTAAGGCAGATCCAGAGTGGCACTGGGCAGAGCCAATAGGTTTTAAACTTCAACAGCACCCGCCTTCAAGTGAGACATCGTTTGTCTCTACAGCACTGCTAGACCTTTAGTATGAATGAAATGAGTACCACCATAGACATATATACATAGACGCCTCATGACGAGCTGGAACGTAACCCAGCATCGCCGCCATATTGATTGGGTCTCCTCACTCTAGTCTAGCATAGGAGTCAACGGGAGAGCTATGCCAGTATGTTGTGCAGCTTACGGCGCAGTATTGACACCAGATCGTGTGGGATTACCTTTAACAAGTAAGATTGAACAATAATTCTTATTATTAAAAAAAAAAAAAAAAGTATTAATTCGTCCTGTATCATAAATAAATCTCTGCCATTTGTAACAAACCAAACCGTGTGAAAATCCGGTAAAAATTCGGGGAGTTATGCTTATTATTGTAGTTGGGGATACGCCTTCCTCCATAGAAATAAATGCACTGGGGACCCATACAAGATGGCGGCCGCGCTGATACGTGAGCTCTAACGGGCAGCGTCAGTCTATGAGGCGTCTATGTATATATGTCTATGGTGTACACCGTCGCACACTCAGCATTTTGGCCTTTTTGAGTACACATACGGGTCCTTTCAAGTACACTTCTTTTGCCGCGATCATAATCGGAACACCCTACGTACTCAAACTAAGTATACTAAGTACGGGTAGTATGGATATCGGAACACGGCCCTGGGATAGATGCTCTCGCTGCAGTTCTACCTTGAGTCTGGAAAGGTAGCAAGTGCTAGAGCCTTAGTTTTTCCTTCATTTTTTTGTCTATTTTTTAAAATAAATTCACATTTGCACAACTACACTTTGCACCCAACTGGTGACAACAATAAAACAAAGCATCAGGTGAAGATTTTTTAGTCAATGCCTCGTTTCACCACTGGGCCAATTCTTACAAATACCCAAAGAAACACTTGACCAGTTAAAACAACTAGTACAAAGTGCACCCCAACTCACCTCTGACCTCTTCCTGATCCTTCTGGCCCCTCATTCCATCGCTGCTCTCCACAGCCTCACCCTGACCGTGGGTGAGGCTTCCTCACAATCCGATGTATTTTGTACACTAATGATAGCAAGCTACTCAACCCTAGTATGAACACAATTCAGAAAGGCGATGCGACGGGACATCAACCTGTCACATTATTTTTTACCGGCATGGTGGCATGTGAGACAAATGTATTTTGGTAGCTAGTGAATTGTCTGCTTCAGAATTGTTCCCTGACTTGTCTGGAGGTTCGCTAGCTTGAGTCAATTTCTTGCGCTTGGCCTCGCAATAGTCGTCGCACAGTTACAGTGCTAGGATTCATTAGCACTTTATTTTATGAAGAACATATTGCTAAGCCATTTAAAGCTGACCCAGTACCTGGTACACAAGCCTGCCTGTATGGGAGGAGGAAGGAATGGAGAGTCCATCAGGTCTGTATTTCAATCTGTTTTCATCGTGCAAAGGAGGTCAGCCAGATGAGACCCCTCCCCCTTAAATATATTATGTAACTAATAAAATATGTCATGTCCAGTGTACACTGAGCAGACACAGGATCCTGAGACAGTGGTCCGCGAGACAGCTGGGAAAACCTTCCTGGACCCCAGCAGGATTTGGACATCAGGACACACAGATAACATGTTCTGAAAGGTAGGACTAGTTAGTGTAGCTGGTTCTTTAAAGGGTGTTTTCGCCCTCCTCAAACACTCATGCCATGCCAACAAATTCCCATCAGCCAACAATTCTTTACTATAGCCTAGTGACTTGAATCTCACCATTTACTTAACATTGTATTTAAACTTAACGCTTATTTTAATTTTCGAATTTCTTTCTAATAATCTTGTAAATCCCCATTACTGTCCTGTACCAAATGTCCGTTCCTAATAAAATGCATCTTATCTTAAATGTCAAATCTCATTTTTAGATTCATAAGACCTTCACAATGTAGTTAGCATGTACAATATGCTATAGCTATGCAGCAGCTGTTACCTGTCAACTGACAACAATAACAACTTGACATATTGAAGAAACCCGATGTACCGTAGTGCACATGGAGTACAAACAGTAATGTGTTTTGCTTTTGCATGCTGAAATGAAAGAAGTGAAATTCTCCAGACTGAACAACATAGCCTTTAGTAGGTCATTGGTTCTTTGATTTCAGGTGGCATAAGGTGAGGGGCGCCCAGCCAATATTTCGAAAGGTTCAATTTCAGATTGCTATAAATACTGTTTTAAATCTGGGAACTGATGTAAGAAATATTGGTGTTTATCCACTGGTGCAACGGTTTCTCGCTCAATGCAGGGACAGACCATCTTAACTTTGAGGTGTTAAACTATATTGCCAGAATAGAAACCTACGGGATGGTAAGCAAAGGTGAGAAGGAAAAATGTGCTCCACTTTGGGAGCCCAAACTTTTCCATGCCATGACCTGTGAAGGTACTTATGGCCCAGCAATGACCCAAAAATGTTGTGCAGTAAAATAAGTAATACATTCTCATTACCCTTTGAAAATGGTATATACATGTAATATATACATGCAAACATTAGTCATCTCTTTTATATACGTCCTGTGGGTTCTGGAAACCCATTTCTTCTCCGTCCCGGCAGATCAGGCTTGCGGTCTGATCATGGCTAGTGATATGTCTGAGCCCAACATGGAGTTGTTGGACGACTACAGTGTCTACAGTGACCTGTCTGATGATGAGCTCATACAGCTAGCCATCCAACGAAGTCTTGCTGAGACAAACCTTGAGAGCAGCCACCAGCCACCCCCCCCTCCTGCACCGACGGCAACAGGTCGGAGTCCAACTCGGATCCCCTCTGAGTATGACTTCCCTCCCAAACACACAACCCTCTATTAGCTTGCCCCCTGCTAGCCTAGCTACGCTATCCCTAACTAAACCCACCCCTAGCAAAACGTATCCCTAGTTACACCTACCCCTAGCACAATATGAGTAGGACAAATTGAAATACAATGAAATAAACATCATTGATAGTAGAGGTAAAAACAAGCCCTGCTTATTTAACTCAACTCAGCACCTAGAACCCTAACCCAGCCATCTTATATTACTGGAACAATAATATAACAATAATTCACTTCAGTTCCTTGCCAACATGACCCGTTTTTACTTTATTTGTAGTGAATCCACTGAAATGCAGTCAATGATCCACCGTGGAGATGAAGAAGCCTTGTTGGCTTTTGTAAAGGAAAACCCAGGCAGCCCGGCGGTGACCAGTGATGAGGGCTGGACGTCTCTCCACGAAGCCGCTTACTTTGGCCAGCTGGGATGCCTCAAGATCCTGATAGAAAGTGAGACGAGTGTCCTATGAACACTTCATGACCACTTTCAAGCAAATCCCTAGGAGCCTAGATCTCCTAGGGATTTGGAGGAGTTGTTTTTTCTGGTGGTCTGTTAGTCAGGAGAATCCTAGGGGCAGCTTGCCGGATAGTCTAGTGGTCAGAGTGTTTGACTCCCAGCTGAAAGGTATTGGGTTCAAACCCCAATGTCCCCAGTAGTCATCCTTGATCAAGATGTCCTACTAACCCGTATCTACTCATTGATGATATGTATCTGAAAAATGTCACTGTGACCTAAAATTGCTTTGGATGAAAGTGTCTGCTAAATGACTAAATAGTGAACTAGAAACCAGTGCAGGCAGCAGTGTAAATGGTGAATTGTGTGTTTTGAGTATGTCCTCTCTCACTCTCCGTAGCGTTTCCTGACATGTTGAACAGATGTAGCTTCAGAAACCAGACCGCTCTGGCCCTGGCTGTGTACAAAGGACACGTCTCCTGCGTCGAGTATCTCTTGGAGCACGGAGCTGACCCCAACATCTCCAATACGGAGCTGGAAAGCCCGCTGTACAAGGGTAACACAAGCTCCCTCTTTCAGGCAGGGCTCCAAAAATGGAGATGATGATGATCATAAAAATTCCCTTTGCTTTAAGGCCTTTAAGGAAAAGACAAGTAGTACATTAAAGTACGAGAAAGTACATCTCTTCCTCCCTCCTTCAAGGAAAACTCTTAAATTACAAAGCGGTTCTGGTTTAGAAGTGCGGTATAGTCAGGATATAGGATGTTTGACTCCCATCTGAAAGGTTCTGGGTTCGATTCCCAATGTCCACAGTCTACCTGTAGGCATCCTAACACTGCTCATGAATGAAACCTGAAACCACTGTAAATCGCTTTGGATAAAAGTGTCAAATAACTATGTAGTAGGTGGTGTGGCAAAAGTCTTGCAACAGACACAGGCAGAACAAAAAACGATTCAACAGATTATTGTTCAGTAATCTGAACGTTGTCTTGCAGCGTGTGAAAAAAGAGGCGAGCGCATTGTGGAGCTACTTCTGAGGTCTGGAGCTTCAGTCAACAAGCCCAACGACCAGGGAGTGACGGCGTTCCAGGAAGCCGTCGCACAAAACCACCTGAAGATCTGTGAGATGTTGTTCCAGGCCGGAGCCAAAGTCTGCACTACCAATATTTACGGGGTTCAGCCGTTCTTCACCGCCGCGCAGAGCGGCTGTGTCAACATCTTGAACTTCCTCCTGAATAAAGGTTGGATATTTTTATTGCCCTAATTTCCCATCTGGTATTATTCATCAAGTACATTTGAGCTAATCTTTCTTACTTATAGATATCATACGTAGATGAATAGATAGATTTCGATTGAACTTTTCTTTATTTTTTTCGACTTTTTTGATGTTGTTTACCATGTCTGTTGTTGTGTCTCAGGTGTGAATGTGAACAAGCAGGTGAAAGATGGAGCGACCCCTCTGTACGAAGCCAGTAAGAACGGCCACACCTCCGTGGTGGAGATTCTGCTGTCATGCAACGCAGACGCAAACCTGCCCACCAAGTCTGGCCTGCTACCCCTCCACGCAGCCACGCAGAAGAAACACAAACAGTAGGACTTGTTCATGTGTTTATTCCAGTGTTTCCCAGCCTTTTTGGGGCTACAATCCCAAACAGAAAGCGAAGGCACTGCAACTTAAAAGAAGTAGGGAACGATTAGGAAAAATCACACGCATTAGGACTAGGACTTCCTATTTCCGAAGCAATTTTCACACACAGAAGGCAAAAGAGTTTACATGGATGGAAGTTCATCAAAATCCGACAGCCAATCCAATACCCAATAATTAAGCAAATCATAATGCAAAATCACCGGTGTCACTGTAAGCCATGTCAGAAATATGTATTAAACCCCTGCACTAAGCTGCTCTCCAATAATTTCTCTTAAAAGGATAGTGTCCATGCTGCTTCCTCTGACCAGTAAGGTCATGGTAAGCAGGGGCGGTATCAGTCCTCTACACCTCGCTGCGGAGCGTAACCAGGACGATATCCTGGAGATGCTGATCCAAGGCGGCTACGACGTTAACAGCCAGCTGTCGGAGGAGCGCAGCCAGACATACGAGGACCGCCGCACCACCGCACTCTACTTCTCCGTCCACAACGACAACCTGGAGGCCGCTGAGATGCTCCTGGAGGCGGGAGCCGACCCAAACCTGGACTACTTCAACCCTATCCTAATCGCCGTCAGGAAGGGGAACGTGGAACTAGTGGCGCTGCTGTTGAGGTACTTTTGCTGTGAGGCAGCAGTGCTTACCACTGTCACCGTGCCACCATGCCCAACGCTTTGATGCCATGAAGTGTCTTATAATAAATCATTAGATTTCACCATCAGGTACGGAGCCGACGTCAACGCCGGCATCTCCACGCACTGGCTGGGCTTCCCGTCGGCCGTGCTGCTGGGCATGGATTACATCCCCTTGCTGAAGCTGCTGCTGGACCACGGCTGCCACGCCCATGCCTGCTTCCACTGTGACTATGGCAACAAGACCCATCCACAATTCGCCCCAATGTGGCGGAGACAGGAACTGCGCTTCAGGACAGACTCTCCAACTGAACACTGTGTCCAGGTCTGTCTGTCTGTCTGTCTGTCTGTCTGTGTGGTCACCTAGTGTTTACTGGATCTATGGGTGGAGATGGAGATGGGTGAATAGAGAGATGAGGTAGAGGGCTGAAGATAGAGGGCTGGATAGAGATACCGGTATGTTGAAATGATATGAGAGAGAGAGAGAGCGAGAGAGAGACAGAGACAGAAAGGCAGAGAGAGAGAGACACACACGGACAGAGACACAGACAGAGACACAGACAGACAGACAGAAGGATAGAGAGAGATGTAGACGGATCGATAGATCGACAAAACAGAAAAAATACCGTCTGTTTCGCATCAAGCACCAACTCGGGTCACAGACCAAAACTCAACTCAAACTGTGATTATTTTTCAGTTTTGTGAAGCCATCTCTAATTATTCAGCCAGGCAGCCCAGTCTCATCATCTCCCTGCTCCTGGACTACGTAGGCCACGTCAAACTGTGCTCTCGTCTGCTGGAGCTCCTCGACGGCTGCGACAACGAGACGTACATCAAACGCAAGGCAGGTACGAGAATCAAACCCAATTCACTCAGAAATAACATATGACCTCTTCATTATAGAGAGGTGCAGGAATGAGTCCTGAAACCCGGAAGTCCGTTAGCATGTTGGCACTTCCGGTTCCCTCGTCTCCAAGTCAATGGGTTTTCTGAATGGGTTTTTGGTGAGATGTCTAAAATAAGGTCTGAGGTTTTACACCAGCTTAAGAGATTTACACGTTTTGTTTTACAACATAAGATACGTCGGTAAATACCCCATTTGTGAATTTTTGAAGCTTTTACGTGTCTTAAAAAAATTCTGGCGATTGCATTTACGCTTCAAAAGTCGTAAAAGTAGTGTTCATTGGTGAAGATTATCTTGCTTAACAAAACGTGTGAGTATCATAAACGTTTGTTTGCCACAGAGCATATTTTCTGCAATAATGCAAAATCCGATGGAAAAAAATCCATTGGCTTGTTGTCATGGGAACCCAGGGCGACACTCACTTCCTGGTTGGCCTACAAAAATACGTCATCCCTGCACCGCTCTATTCACTAGGATTTTAACTAATTTACCCTTTAGCCATGTAGAAGATTGTTTAAGGTTCTCGTCATTAAGCAGCAGCTAGGTAGACTGTGAACATCTCAGCTGGGAGCCAAACACCACCACTAGACCGTCCTGCCCCACCATGTGGTGCAGAATATGTTGAACTACTGTTATGAACATAACATTCATAATGTGATGTCGTGTGTTGCACTAGTGCCACCGCATCCCTTGATGCAGCTGTGCAGGCTGAGGATCCGGGAGATACTTGGGGCCAAACGACTGCAAGCGCTCAACAGTCTGCCGATACCAGACAGACTACAGCGCTTTCTCTGGTACGACGTGGGGTGCGTTTCAGAGTAAAAGTCCTGTGATGTGGAGTGCATTTCAGAGCAAAAGTCCCAGGTGTGAAGTACCTTTTGGAGTAAAAGCCCTGAATGTGGAATACCTTTCAGAGTAAAAGTCCTGGATGTGGAGAACCTTTCAGAGTAAAAGTCCTGTGATGTGGAATACCTTTCAAAGTAAAAGTCCTGTGATGTTGAATACCTTTCAAAGTAAAAGTCCTGTGATGTGGAATACCTTTCAAAGTAAAAGTCCTGTGATGTGGAATACCTTTCAAAGTAAAAGTCCTGTGATGTGGAATACCTTTCAAAGTAAAAATCCTGGATGTGGAATGCCTTTGAGTGGAGCACCTTTCAGGGTTAAAGCCCTGGGTGTGGAGTACCTTTCAGAGTAAAAGCCCTGGGTGTGGAGTACCTTTCAGAGTAAAAGCCCTGGGTGTGGAGTACCTTTCAGAGTAAAGGCCCTGGGTGTGGAGTACCTTTCAGATGGCCAATCGTGAAGGCCCACCTCTTCAGAGAAGATCTCATGAAATAGACTTGTGGACTTGTGGACTAATGTTTTAGTTAGAATACACTTTGTTGAAATGCAAATACATCTCTGAAATGTATATATTAATTATAATCATAATAAACTAAATTATACTAGCCTTGCCTTTCTGACCCCTAGATCTACTATGCACTCTGTCCACTCTTTCTTTTCTACTCCAGTTTTGATTGTCTGCCATGTAATTCCAGCTATGCAGCATGCAACAACACACATAATTAGCACTCATTAGGACACCAGACAAGGAGATTAGGCCAATAGAAAGGTGTGACACTCTTGAATCATCCAATGTCATCTATGATATGAAGCACAATACGATACGGCGATTAGTGCTTTTTATTGCTGAGCTGACAAATCAGTTCTCTTGACAAATACATTTCATCATACTGTTGACCCTGTGTTGACCTACATATGACAAATACAACTTGAAACTTGAAGGCAAAATAATCAGGTAATGTGATACAAAGGTCAAGGGTCATGTAATCGGGTAACATGATATTAAGGTGATAGAGGGCACTGCTTGGTGCAGCTCTGGGAGGAGGAGGAGAGGGAGGGGCTACTTGGGAGCAAGATCTCCAAAAATACACCCTGCATACTGACTCCTAAACACAGACACACTGCAGAGACCAACACACAGACAGACACTACCAACAGACAGACAGACACAGACAGAC